CTCAGATGTAGGAGCAGTGTTTCTTTTATATATTTTAAAATGTTCTGTATTAACATCTGTAATAGAAATATTCAAACATTTGTCATCAAGTACATGGTCAAACTTGTGGATAATTCTGAAGAGAAGAACTGGAAAGTTTGGGAATACTGCTAGTAGTATCAGCATCGGCGGTAAGGCCAACCACCAAAGGTTTTGTGAAACAATATTTACATATATAGTATAACACTTTAAACGTTATGGCTTAAACACCGAAAGCTAACGAAAAATTAGAGACGAATACATCTAAAATTATGTAAACAGTATTATTTTTTATATTCCTCTTAGTTTACCACATATGTTGGGCGTATTAGTTTTAAATGCTTCGTCAGCTTTTGGAGTTTAAACCGTTTCGTATTCATATTTGAATATAATTTCAGAAAAATATTTGTATCTTATTGTACAGCCAAATGATAAGTTCTGGTTTTGTTCGAAAGACTTCTTGGGCAATGAATTGTAGGAGACAAAAGGAACATTGTTACTCACCTCTAATTTATAGTTTGTGGTGGAAAATATAAATGAATGTGAAAAAACATCTTCAGGTTACACGATTTTTTATAACAAAATTTAAGTGAATTGTTTTCTAAGAATTCGCTAGCTTTCGGCATTTACCCGTATCGTGAACTGATATTTGTACGGCCCATCAATCACCCTTTCATCCACGGCCGTCACCTCCTATGGACCAATTTCTCTCATTGTCTGACACCCTTTCCAATTTATTTAACACCAACAAACTCTCCTGTTTAAATTTATTTGATTTTGAAAGAGCTTTTTACTCTGTTTGGTACCAGAGTTTGAGCTATATTTTACAAAACTTGTCTTTCCCATTATCGTATTCCAGCTAGTTCACTCATTCCATCAATGGTATTATTCCCTGATAATTTAGTCTAAACGTTGGAGTCCCTTAGGGCTCAATACTATCTCCTCTACTCTATATTATCTACGTATCAGATATGCTTCAACCTCAGTTCGCTCTCACATAGAAAGCACAGATGTCATTTCTTCGGCAGAAGTTCACTCAGCGTCTTTAACTTCAACAAGAACTTACTATATGATAATTTCCACCCACTTCCTCCCAGAAAGGTTATGCTTTCTGTTGAACACCTTATTAATTTACTTCTATTCTTGGGGGGTTCTGACAATAACTACATTCGATATTCCCAGTACAATCACCTACAATGTTTTCTTTTCTTTCTTCCATGGAGAACAACTTTTTTATCATTTGTTCTGCTGCCAAGCTACTGTATATGCAGCTATCCATTGTTGATATTCTCTCATGACTGAAGAGAGGGTGTAACTCTCTGATGACCGTCCAGTCTTTGGGTTGGTGTGAAATGATAGTCTCTTATCGTTCAGTCTAACGGATGGGTTTTGGTTTTGAAAGAAAGGTCTCTTGTTTCGTGCATTTTGAAACACATAAGATACATTTATAATCCGACATAAGCAAATTAAGAGGAGTGTAAAAAAAACGCCTGCATTTTACGTGATTTTTGTCACAAATATTAGACTTAAGACTAAATAATTCTCTTAAAGTGTTTCATTGTCTTTTCAATCAAATAAACAACTTTACTTTACAACTGTTGATAAGCCTTTATTAGAAGTAATAATGACTTATTGTTAGTAATAACAATTCTTTACCAAATAATTCTTATAAAACTTTATGAACTTCAAAGACTTTCATTGTTTGAAAACGTGTTTATTTTGGTTCATAGAAAGACAAGAAAGGCGGATTTCTTTCAGCAATAGATGACCTGAGGCATCTGATAAAAAACACATACCGTAGATTATTACATTCCCTTGATATTAACAAGATTTCAAATACAGAGGTAGGCGTTATTATAACCATTATGTTGAAATTCAGAGGACTTCTCTAAGTGAGAAAATATATATTTTTTTGTATTTTAGATGATTTATTGCATTCGCGTGTTTTTCTTCTATATAATGATTCACCTAGGATATATTTAAAAGTTTAGTTGGCTTCTATTATGGAAGTATGATTTTTATATATAATGACGCAGTTCCGAAATGATGTACAAGTTTGAATATTTTCCACTTTCACATTTCACATTACCATCCAGTGGCACAGCGGCATGTCTGCGGACTTATAACGCTAGAAGCCGTGTTTCGATACCCGTGGTGGGCAGAGCACAGATAGCCCATTGTATAGCTTTGTACTTAATTACAAACAAACGTTTCACATTAGTTAGTTAATTATACTATGATATCAGGCAGAACAATTAAAACAGTTTAATACATGTTTCTGACTCTTGTTAAACAGTATTTACAAATGTGTACTTTTAAGCTGAATATATAAATTAAAAGTGTAATTTGATATCTATTCCAGCGTTAATTGATTTTTGTGTGCACATTATTTGAATCTATATTCCTACGTATACTATAACTATAATTTGAATATATATATATAATACCATTGCGTTCACCTAGTTTATGTAGATTTTCATTTTCTAAATTATATCTATTTTATATTTATATACAATTATTATTACAACTGTTTATCTTTATCATGTTGTTTAGAATTTGCAAGTCCTTTTAAGAAAGTTTTATACATTACAACTGATAAATTACAATATATTTATTATAATAACACTCAGTTTTTGTCTGTCCTGAAAATGCGCGCGCATTTTACTATCTATTATGTCGTCAAGAAATTTATGTCGCGATTTGGAACACTTTCATTAAGCCCCCCCCAAAAAAAAACAACGTACATCACCTATAATAGTTAAACGAACCACCTAATATATAATGTGTAAAGTTTAGTATACTCTAATCCCTTATTAGGGAAACAACGCTTCTGTAGCCACAAAGAATATCAAAGAAGCTTATGGAAATGTTTTGAATGTTCGTAAGTGTCAACGATGGTTCCGCAAATTTCTTTCAGATGACTTTTGCTTTAAAACCTGTGCAGGGGCCGACATGTTGGAATTGATATTGATGCTCTGAAGACACTTGTTGAGTCAAACCTAAAGCAACACACTCATGAAATGGCCCTAAAATTGTACGACTTATGAAACAATACGTAAACATTTAAGGAATATGGGAAAACTCCATAAAGAAGGTGTTTGGGTACCTCCCGAACTCTCCAATGATCATCGTTTCCAACGTGTGCTTCGTCTCTTCTGGCGCGTAATGTGCATGGACCATTTCTGGATAGAATTGTCACCGGTGATAAAAAATGTATTCTCTATGCGAATATTAAACGCTAAAAACAAAAACTAAGACAAAAACCACTTCCGACCCCAAAACCTGGACTCC